ACGTTGTTTTGCAACTATCGTTTTATGATTTTTCTTCATTCAAGCGTCTATTTTTGGGTGAACAGAATAATATTTTGTCAAAAATAACCGAATGGTTGTAAACAAAATCAGGTGACGAATCAATCAATTTGTCTATTGTTTTATATAATTTGAATGTCTTTCAACTTAACTGAATTGTTGGTTGATAACAAAATGCTTGAACGGATCGGCATGAACATGGTTTGTCTAATTCCAACGCTAATCGAGTCATCTGAAAACTGATTTTGAAGCCACTTAGGTACATGATGTTCCATAACCCTGATTGCAATGTCCGATAACTCCTCCTCGCTATGTATGTGTGTCCACACGGCATATGCTGAAAATTTGTGAATGAGCACATTAAATAAGCTTACTATCTATAGGAGATATATGGAGGATATTTTAATTAATGTGATAAAGAAACTCAAACGTCTCTCAGTTAATGGACAACCTTATTAGCCTTCAGAAGGAACATTGTACTGACTCATGAACCAGAAGATAATGATCGATTTGCCTTTTTTTTTAGACATACTGTTGAGTCGAAGGGAGAATGGAACTATAAAGCTTTCTGTTTATAGAAAACCAACGTGGAATGGACAGTATCTAAATTTCAGCAGAATTTGTCCACTACAATACAAGTGAGGTTTGGTAAAATGCCTCTTCAATAGAGCTCAAAGGATTTGCACCACGTATACATTTGACGACGATGCAAAATTCTTAACTGAAGCATTGATTTCATGGCTATCCGCTAAAGTTCATCAATAGGTGTAGAGATCAGTCAAGACAAAAACAAGTTTCTCATTCTGCTGAGAAGAAAAAGGTTTATATCACTTTACCATTTAAAGGTGAAGCAAATGGTCTAACAATAAGACAGAGATTAAAAGCAGCCATAGAGAAAACATACAACGCTGCTAAACTGATTATCATTGAAAAGACCAAGTCCATGATTTCACATATACCTAAACGTCGTTCGAATGATGAATAAATCACATCCCATTACATTTATCAATTTACATGTTTGTGTGGACACACATACATAGCGAGGAGGAGTAATCGGACTTTGCAATCAAGGGTTATGGAACATGTACCTAAGTGGCTACAAAATCAGTTAACGTCAGATGAGCCGATTAGAGTTGGATATAGAAAACCATGTTCAGCGATCGCCAAACACATAATTGAGACACGGCATACGATTGACAAATGCTTTAAATAAACTATGATACGTTTTATTCAACATAGTTTGTTCAACATCGGATGAGGAGTATTCAGCATTAGAGGGAAACACATTCAATGATCAATGTTATGGTGAATAGATATCGATTCATTGCTGATGGATGTTTCCCTCAATTGAATCGAGTTGTATTTATAAGTAGTAAGTAGTGATTGTATAGTTTCAGGTAACCAAGGTGAAATAAATTCGACTTCCTGTTTACAACGCATCATTAAATAACCGAATCATTGAAATTGAAAAATAAAGCTGATCGGATGACTAATTGCGTTCACTTGTGTTCAAACTGATACATTTTATGATTATGGGTAATGCAGAAATCAACAACAGTTATCAGTGAATTATGCACGAAGAAAACATGGTGAACTATGTAGAAGGTAGATAAAGCGTGTGATGGGTTGAACACTTAGTACGCAATTCATTCATTTAGATTATTACCTCATAAAACAATATGCAGTGAATTCTATGTGTGAATAAATAAAGATGGCAAATCTGAACCACAAAAAACAAACACTTTGAGCCTCTTTTATAACCAGCCGTCTACGATTGTTCGAAATTTCCACTTTCGTGGTTTAGTGAATTAACAAAATATGAAAACGAAACTATATTTCTGATAATTTGTTCAGTTTGATCGATCGCTTATCACAATATCATTCAGTCGTCATAGAGTTTGTAGTGTACACTGGCGAGCGAATGTGTGACTGAAGCGAATCTTATGGAGCGATTTGGAGAAGGCTAATGAGCCAACTCCCCAGGATTACAATGAGAACGAATGGGTGTAGGAAGCGATGTGGAGAAGCGAGTTGGAGAAGGTTAATGAGCCAGCTCTAAGAGATAAAGCATGACTAGGAATTTACAGTCAGACAAAAATAAGACAGACATGTAACATGCGAGATAGGCATGCACAAACATGAATACAATCGACGAATAAGTGACAAGGTAAAAAGACAACTGGGACAAGTCATGTGAGCAAAGGTACGACGAAGAAATTCGATTGTTCAATTCTGTTCTGACTCATGAAAATAGGTTATGTAACTTTATGTGATCTATTCATCAACTAGCACTATTCTATCATTTCAATTCAAAGTGTAAATTTATATCGCACTGTCCTTGTTAACTCCTACAACATCACTCCTACAATCAATCACTCACATGATTCATCAGCTTAAATGAGCTGAATTTAAAAGGCAAAAAGGATGGGAAATAAGCAAGACGTATTTTTTGCCGACGAGATAAGGTTTTGGCCGACTAACTACTTTTCTAAACATGTATTCATTCACAAAATAACTATATACAGACTTATTGGTTGTAAGATTATTCTAACTGTCTTTCTCTGTGTGTGTGTATTGTTGTAATCAGTTGTGATTCGATTGTCTCAATTGTACCAGCAAGAAGTCTTGATATAGCGTAGAAAGTGTATTCTACGAACACAGCCCAGTCAGCACATACACAATGAATCCAAACACTTAAATTGCGTTTATTTTACTTTTTAGAGACATCCTTGGGACAGTCACAAAAATAGCACAATAAAATGATCCTGGTGGGAAATATGCTCTCAAGGTCAACTGATCGGTTAATGAAATCAACCAAAAATAAAGGATCATTTATATCAAGCGAGTTTCTGGGAGATCTAACATCCCCATACAATTTTTATTCTCCTTATCACTTACTCTTCAACCAATTGTGGTGTAAACTCTCTTCATTACTGATCACCTTGCCTATTCCGGCTTCCTATTTTCAGTGTAAATTTAAGTCGCACTGTCCTTATTTACTCCCACACAATGTATTGTTTCAAAATCAACATGTTCGAAGTAGTAAAGCTGGTTGGAATTTAGCGCAAAAATTATATCCACCTTGTTTTAATAAACATTTTTTGAATGAAATCGAGGCTGAACAGAATGCTGAGAATCAATGAAGAAACGCAAATTAAAAGTTTCAAAAACATTGATTACGTTAGTGGTTGTATTAGTAGTAGTAGTAGTAGTAGTAGTAGTAGTAGTAGTTAGTATTAGTAGTA